ACAGTGGTGTCAAGACCTTGGGATGAGTTAAGAAGAGTCTTTCCCAACTGTCTCAACAGGCAGGCTTCACATTTTGTGAAGATTAGGAATACATTGTGTTCCTGCTGGAGACAGGATTACCTACGCCTAAGATCCTGTGACAGGAGTAGAACCACTGCTGCCTTCCACCAGCAAAAATGATTTGGGGGCGTGGCTCATGCCTGTAATCCCAGCACTCAGGAGGCTGAGGCAGGAGGATTGTTACACGTTCAAGTCCAACCTGGGCTACAAAGCGAGCTCAAGGCCAGCCCGAACTGCACAGTGAGACCCTGTTTAAAACCAAAAGTGAAATTTAGTGGAGACAATCCTCTCTGCTGTCTCACATCCTTATAAAGCTGAGAGTCTGTGGTCCACCGTGCTCAGCATCCCCGGACTCCATCCGCGGCTTCCTTTCCCTCCCATTTCCTTCCCTTTTTCCTCCGTTGTTGGAATAATGTCAGCTCCGGTTCAATCCATAGCTTTCTAAGCGCAGCACTCTGGGACTGGGCACTGGTCCTTTACAGGTGAGGTTAAAGTGTGGTTCTCCACCTCTGGGAAGTCGGTTAAATTTTCAAGCTTTAGGTCCTTGTATGTGAAAGAAAGGAGCGATGGTACCTTATACACATGTGAAGATTAAACTCAACACTGTACACTAGATCTGGCACACAGTAAGTGTTTAATAAGTGGTAACTGCTAGCATTTATAATTGGTGATAGTTAATTTTTCTATGCTGAGATCTAAAATTACTTTACAGATGTTCATGTACAAATATGAACATGCATTTTAATGTATAGGCAGTTTTAAAATCCTAAGTTAATGTTCCCACTTAATGACATTATTTTTAAAACCTTCTGTCTTTTTTCTTAAGGTCTTGAAAATCAAAAGCTTTCCAATTATACTTTTTGTTGGGTGTGGTGATGTACTCAGGAGGCTGAGGCAGGAGGATCATTGTGAACTCAAGGCCAGCCTGAACTGCATTGAGTTCCAGGCCAGTTTGTACTACATACAAGACTCTGTCTCAAAAAATAATAGTAATTGTACTTTTTTGCTTATTCACTGTACAGTAAAGTAATTATTAAAAGAAAATGAAAACTATGATCCTAAATCAGTTCTGCATTTGTGAGATGTGATACATAAGATGAGCAAACAGATTTGTAATTGAATTCAGCTGGGAAAAACTTTGGAATAACACTCTATGAGTGATGGCAGAGCTGGGTGATAAAGTGATGTTATCCTCAGAGCCCACTAATACAGACCCGCAGATCACAGTATCTACTCAGATTTAGAGCACATCAGTCCCAAACTCGACACTCTTTTCTAATCAGTTTCTGATGGCAAAAGAAAAATCCACCTTCATGAATGTAGCTCAAGGCATTTAAACAATTCTCTGAGGTACTCTGCCCCTCTGTATTATCCACTGGGTGAAATTTTAGTAAAGCAAAAAAGTGTTCCGCTTACGGTACTTTCTCACTATGGCCCACCTCCCCAGCTGTGAAATCCCCAGCCGCTAGCAAAAGAGAAGGAGATGCAGCTTTACAGCTGCAAGCAGAAGAAATCTAAGGTCACCTTGTCACGTCATTACTGGGATCTCAGCACTGGAATCACAGTACAGCTTTTCTTGCCACAAACCCCCTGCCTTGTAAACATGTCAAGTGCACATGAGCTGTGATTTATTTTGTCCTTATGGGGAATAAGTGAATGTGGCAGAAGCAGTAACAGTGACTAAGATAATAATATAATATATGGGTATGATAACAGCAATGTTAGAAGAGTCTGCCCCGGGTATGGCCATCCTACGCCGTAATCCTCACAGGGACCACAGGCGTACACGCCACCCTTATTTTACTGGAAACTAAGGATGGGTGAGACTCAGTCACCTGGTCAGTGCCTTGATGGGTCACATTCAAGGCATCTGACACCAAAGCTAAGGTCCTTATCATTGCATTGTGTTGCCTTCAGCAAAAGGAACAGATGAGGAGAAACTGAACTGGCCAATGCCAGCCAGGATAGATTTTTGAAGAAAGGGAAATTTGAAGAAGCTGGTACTATTTTGAAGGCACATGAGGATATCAGTTTATAGCCATCTTTCTATTTCCTACTCCTAAAGAAAGGAAATGACCCTAAAATCTCAGGTAGTTAAGAAATAGATCAACTATCATCATGTCCTTTAACTTCCTTAATTCACCACCATCAATTATCAAGAATTCTGGCCCACAGAATCAGATGTCATTATATTAGGGACTCACCATAGCAACCATGTTAACTACAGATGAAGGACCACACGTTCCAAAGAGGCAACAATTTCTGAAATCAGAAATATTCCAAAATATGACTCTTTTGGAAATACCAATATGCTACGAGAGGAAAATTCCATACCTGACCTTATGTGACTGAGTGTAACCAAAACACAGACCCACTAAAAATATTGTACAAATTATCTTTGGCCTGTGTATTTAAGGTATACAACGCAAAAATGAATTTTGTGTTCAGACTTGGAGAATATATACATTATATATATATATATATATATATACAAAATACTTCTGGTTCCAATCATTTCAGCTAAGAGACACTCAACATACAGTGGCTCTTTACATTCCAGAAAAAATGTAGATAAAAATAAAATTGTACTTAAGCTTGCTGGGGGCTTGGAAAAATGTTTGAGGTCAGAAAAATTTGTATTTCCAGCCACTTCTTTGGTTAGTTTACTTGTTTATGACTTTACTACTCCGACTGCTTATGGTTTTTTATTTATTTATTTATTTATTTATTTAGAGAAAGGCTAAAGACTCTCCAGAAGTTGAAAGTAGTAGGAAAACTGAGTAGAAAAATGTCAGAAAGTTAGCATTATTTTAATCAAAAATTGCTTTTAAATTCAAAACAGCTCGAGAATCATAAGAAAATGATGTTTTCATTCCATAGGGTCTACTAGAATGGAGATTTCTCATTTCGACATCCTTTCGAAATGGAAAAAGACTCACTAGACTTTCACTTGGTTATTTAGCTCCTCTTTATAGGTTCATAATGTTTGTGCTGAAAAATACTGGATGGAATAATTTTATTTCAAGGCTTTTACGAAAGTGTCTGTTAACTCTGAGTACTTAGCATTTGCTGAATTGAAGAGCGTGAAGAGAAACTTCTGTAATTTCCCTCTTTCAGCATTAGAAAGCATTAAGAGTTTATACTCAGAGAATTAACTTTAAAAATTGCTTTTAAATGCATTCCTCTGAGCATTTTCAAAGGCTCCTTTTATTTGGGTTGATCAGATGTTCAGATTGTCTCACACACTGCACACTTTCTGAGGGCCTACTTGGTGCTGTGTCTGTCTTTTTGCTCAGGACCTACTCAGGGGCAGTCTTTAGGGTTAAAGAGACAACTCAGGAACCAAAAGGCCTGTGCGCTCTCCTTCACTAATCCACCAAAATAGAATGGCCAGGATGCAAGGGCACTCTCTCTTACCGTGATGCACAGGTTCGACCTTTCTCTAGCATATCTGAGACAGTGTCTGTTTGAGTCACACCTGAAGCTCACCAGTCAGGGCACCTCAAAAATTATTCTACTCTGTATTTGAAGCATTTCAATGGAAGCTGGTAGGTATTTGTTGCCTAAAAGCAGCATTTTCTTTGACTCTGGGAGCCTCGAGTTCACTTCCAGAAGTAACAGATTGCTTCTATTTCGGTTACTCTGTGGCCACTGTCCTAGTCATTTGAGCCCCCACTCCCATGCTGCTCTGTGTCCCCCAGCTTGGTCCAACCAGCACCCATAGTCCTGTTGGCAAGTCCTGTGGGCTCCTAGTGGTCCAATATTGTATCCGGGCTGGGAGAAACAGAGCATGAAAAGTATCCTTGAGGAAAGGTACTAAGGCTATTCAGGTCTTTTTCAATTATTTCTTTTGTTTTTGCTTTGCTCTGCTCAGGAATACCAGAGCCATACATAGAGTTAAAGAACCAGAGCGCTCCCCTACATCTTAGCTCCTTGCCCGGTCCCCAGCCGCAGCTGTGGATGAGCTCCAGCAGGCCCTTGATGTCTGAGCCACCGGATTTCTTTTCTTTTCTTTGGAAGACAGTGAAGTGAGGACAAATAGTGACACCAAGTTTTCATCATCGTCTTATTCCTGAGCCACTATCAGCCGATCGAACACCGACTGAACACCTAGCTTTTCTGGCTCAGGTAACACACTTTGTGCTGAGGACACAAAGATCACACAGTTCTTGTCCTCAGGGAGTTCACGATATCCTGGGGGGATGCGGACAAGGAGACATTTAGAGGAGAGCACAAGGAGAAGGTGAGCACAGAGAAAGCGGGTAACTCGGAAGGGGGTGGAATCAGGCTGCTCCTCCCGGGGAATTATTACGCATCCTACCAGCCGGCCAGCGAAGACAGCAGGCATTAAATTGAGGGTCTTGTTTTCCCTGCTGCAAAATCTACTCACCAGAGAACGCTCCCCACCCCAGCCCCCATGACCAACCAAACCGTGCTGTGTGATTGACTTTGCAAGCCTGAAGCCCAGACTGTTTAGAGGACAACAACATGCAATATACTAACTGTTGTAGATTTCCTGCTGTCTTCTCACTTTTGGTTTGTGTCATTGTTCTGTTTTATTCCCTTTAAAATTAAATAAAAGCAATCTATTCAACAATGGTTCCCGTGTATTACCAAAGCTGGCTTCCGTCTGATAATGCCACCAACGTGATCATGCCCATGTCTCACCACTGCTCACCTTGCTGCCTAGCTGAAGGTCATGACAATAAAAACTGGCATGGGTGCTTTCCAAGGAACCTGGTTAGACGGCTTGACTCTAATTGTGAAACTGAAGATTAAAAGCCAACACGACGGGTCTCTACAGGAAGAGCGCTCCAGTAGATGAAGAAACCAGAAGAAATCTGTTAGACATATACTAACTCAAGGAACTCAGACCACCGAGACCCAGAGCTGAAGCCAGCCTGTGCTTTGCTTACTGGGAGGAGGATTTCTTTACCTACCACATGGGATGCTCCTGGGGCCTTGACGGGCCTGAAGCCATCAACAGGCACACACTGGTCAGCATGGCCATTGCAGTAGCAGCTGCCCTTGACGATGAAGTCGTAGACTGCGTAGTGTGTGAAATGCTGGGGCTTCGCGTCCAGGTCATTTCTCTGGCAGGGACAAGACTGTCTTTTCAGCAGCTGCACGCGGAGGTTGGTGATCTTCAGCTGCTCCTGAACTTTGGCACTGTAAGGGTTTTCCGCATCGTATGGTGGTGACAAAGCTCGGAAAATAACCTGCAAAGAGAAAGAAAATGCCATTTGTATATAAGACTGTGTGCAAATCCTGAGTTTGCCCGCTGTGGTCCCCGGTTGATTTATCCTTTTTGTTATCTGTGAGTGATAACACGAGGGTTTTAGACCTTGACCCCACCTGGGGAAAAGCTGCCCTGTTATTCTAAGGAATAGATGTGCTGCCTTTTGGGTACAGAAGTACATATATGTGGAGCAACCTGCAAAGACTTGGCTCTTGGGACGAAAGCAGCCGTGCAGAGGTCCTAGGGGAAGGAACCACAAGGTTAGAGGATCTGCAACAGAGTCAGGCTCGACTTGGTCCAGGGAGAACGAGAAAGTCAGAGCGACCAGAAACCCATGGACAGGAAAGTGTGGTTAGAAAGAGGGACGGGAAGCAGGTGCCATGGAGGCTCCTGGGAAGCCACGGGCAGAGCAGGGATCTGATCTGGGTTGTTACAACTTCAAAAAGTTACTTCTGCAAGGATCTCTACTTTTATACAAGGAGAAGAACAGGGCTGGGAGTGTGGTCAGTGATGGAACATGTGCTTAGCATGCAGGAAGCCCTGGATTTGATCCCCAGCACCCAAATAAGTAAAGAAATGGTAAAGGATAGAAACAGGAAGACCAGGTAGGAAGCAACTGCAAAATCAATACGCAGGAACTTACATTTCTCCATGAAGCCTGACCCTTTCAAAGGCTAATTGGTTATTCTCTGGGGCTACAATTGTTACAGGTCTTTTGGTTCCTCTTTTTCTGGAAACTGCCTTCCAAGCTGTGGCACAGTTTTGGAATATCCTTACTGGTATATTTCCTTTGAGGATGATTTCTGAAATTAGTCAAAAGCCACTTAAAACCAAGTGTAGGGAGAAAAGCAGTGGCTCAAGTCAACTAATGACACTTGGTTAAATGCAAGGTGTGTTTTTACTGTGCGGGTCATAGACGCTTCTGTTCTAGGGAGGAAAGCTCAGAAGCGACGGAGTTTTGCTACTGGGAAGACTTTGGGCCTGTGTGTGACTTTGGATGTCATATGGGGTCACATGGGGGTCCTGGAGTAGGTGGTACAAACTCCCTAGTGGACCAGTTATCCAGGGCAGCAGGGGATGGTGGAAGGGAAAATCACTGCCAGTGGGAACCGAGCAACATAAAAAAGAAATCTAAACTACATTATCACACAAAACAGCATTACGAAGCCAACACTCAGTTGTACTTTACTATGCAGGTTTTTAAGAAGACAAAGAATAAAAAATTCAAGCTACGTATATATATATATGAAAGTACTCCTGAAAAATTCTTAAGCATCTCTTGCCTTTTAAGGATGTTAAACTCTATTAGCAAAAGAAACATTTTGATAACTGAGTAGTATGAAAGTATTTTTCAAAAAGTAGGCTTTGGGAAACCTCCTTTTTAGAAAGTACCCAGCAGTAACTTTCCAGAAAATAAAAACAAAACTTTAAGGAATACCTTGGATATGAAAGTTTCATTTCAAAAATCAAATTTCATATCAAAAGTATGAAAAAGCAAGAACCAACTGTGTAGGCTCATGTCATGCTACAGAGACTTAAAATTGTCCTCAGTGAAATATGCCCTTGGAGGAGGGGGAATAATTCAATTTATGCTTGGCCTTTATGCAGGAGACAGAATGATTCTCTGTAAATAGAGTTGGATCACTTCAGGTCCTTACTTAACCTCTGAGACTAGGACAGATGTGGTGTGATGCCCGTAATCCCAGCACTTGAGAGGCAGAGGCAGGAGGATCACTGTGAGCTGGAGGCCAGCTTGGGCTATAAAATGAATTCAAAGCAGCCTGGATTACATAGTGAGACCTTGTCTCAAAAAGACAAAAACAAACAAAACAACAACAATAATAGCAACAAACCCCTCTGAGATAGTTAAGGCTGACTGGCTTGGGGGCAGCGGTGTTGGTAGAGCATACTTGTGGGTGTGTCTGGGAGGGCCATGGACATGTGACCTCACATTACATGTGGTTCCCGGCCCCTTCTCCAGAGCTGTTCTCCTGCTCTGATTCCTTGTCACCATGAGTGAAACAGCGTTCCTCGGCCACGTCCACCCACCATGAGGTTTCCACCTTGGAGCCAGCCAACTATGGACTCCTGCAGCCGTCAGCCAAATCAAATCTCTCTTCCTCTAAGTTGTGGATGTTGGGTGTTGTATTCCAATGATGGAAAAGCTGATGAATACAATCCCCTAACCCCACCAAAGACTCCTCCTTTCCTTCAGAATAAAATGCAAAATCTATATGATTGCCCTGCCTGCCTTTTGTTCTTGCAAGTTGTTTCTGCCGTTACTCCCAGATAGAAGGAACTTTCTTGGGCAGTCACTGATGTGTTCCAGGACAGTGTCTGGCACACAGTAGGTCTTTAATAACTTTTTGGTAAATGACAATTAATTATTAAATTAACTACCAAATGACAATGAATTACTAAGTTGTTCTTGGCACTTATGTAAAAGGTGAGCATTCTAAATAATTGTTTTATACAGAGTCTTAAACAGATTCACAAACTGAATTTCATGTTATAGCACTGGAAGGAAAAAGGTTAGACCTTGTATTATAATAATAGTAACAAACCACTGAATGCCTAACCAGGGTGTGCATTTTTATTTATTTATTTATTTATTTATTTATTTATTTATTTTTTGGTGCCTGGGATCGAACTCACGACCTTGTGTTTGCCAAGCAGGCACTTACACCACTGAGCTAAATCCCCAGCCCTCAGGGTGTGCATTTCTAGCTGTTTTTAAATTTTCAGAACTTAATTCTCCAACAGCGATGCAAAGACATGGAAGAGACTAAGCCAGTGGTAACTAAGTAAGGATCCCACTGAAAAGTCCACATTTCGCATTTCTGTGTGCTGCCTGCCCATCCTTCCTTTCCTGCACACTGGTGGCAGCTGTTCCCTCTCTCTGTTCCTGTCACTTATTTTTCCTTGACATTTACCACAGCTCCCTGACCCTCCGGCACCTGGGAGCTGCACAGCACAACACACCCAGAGTTCGAGGAAGCTCTGTCAAGGTTTGGGGAAGCCAGCAGCTCTCTGGCTTCCTGAACCCAGCCTGTGGGGGCTGAATGGTGGCTCTGTGCTTGGTGTGCATGACACCACACTTGGCATGCAGATATCAGCAGGGAAGGGACATCGTGACCCCTGAGGCTGTGGGCTGGACAGGAGACAGCACAGTGCCACAGACACAAAAGTGAACGGGAATTTAAACCGTGAAATCTTTTTTCCAGAGAGGAGACGCCTTAATCTGATACCCTGGGAAGTGGATCTAGCCTGCATCAGGAAACAAAGAACATGCCAACCCAGATGCTCCCAATTTCTGGCAGGTCGCCCTTTGGGTCCCACCCAGGTTTTCTTCAGTCGTCCCCAGAAGTCTGCACAGCACTCACGAAGTGAAGTAAACAGTGTACAAAGTCTCCGTGTAGCAGCAGCCCTTCTGGGTTTTGTCTCCAAGAGGAACAGGATGTATCTACGGTCCATCACGTCTCTGTGCCCTACTGCTTCCCGGTGAGCTCCTAATGAATGTATTTGTAAAAGCCAGGGATTGATTTTTTTTTTTTTTACTAGGATCAAGCATACTGGGATACTTGACTTCTGGTCTGCTGGGGTTACTGGCCAGTACGTAATTATCTTCCATGAAGTAATTTTCCTGTGTTCTAGGGTTTTAGCAGCCTGTCCATTCCAGAAAAATCTGTTATTTAAAATGTAGAAGATAGTAAGTACCTACAAGGTGAGCCACCCCGAAGACCACTAGGTATATACGCTTCGTAAGACCTTCTTATGTAAACTTACGTTGCATATACAGTTATAAAATATTAGGTCAATAGCTTTATATACCTTGTGTGTATTCTTCCACGTCAATAAATATTCTTCCTCCCAAACTCAGAGGCCCTATCTCAGAAGAACTAAGGCAGAAGTGCTTCTTCAGGCCTGACCACGAAATCTGTGATTCAACCAGTCCTCCAAAGTTGATGCTGATGCACATTAACGTCGGAGAAAGATTGCTACATAATTTAAAAACCCACTGGGAATTCCATTGCGTGGATATGAGAATCATTTACTTAGCCAGGGTGCCTTTTATTTAGGATGTTTCAACTTTTCAGAGTAACCAACCACAAGGAACGGCTCCGGAGCCAAAGAGGGGACATGTGTCACCACTTCCTAAAGATGTCTTTCTAAATGGGAAACTAGTGGGTCAAAGAAAAGGCGTCACTTAAAAAACATCTGATCCTCTGAATGAATCTCGGGTCCTGTCCTTCCTACTCTGCTCCACATTTCTTGGGTCTTGTCTGACTTCTCTGAGCCTCAGGTCCCTGACACTTTGCCCGAGGACCTGGGTTTTCTGCTCAGGCCCTGCCATTTGTTGTGCCCATCTCACCGTGGCAGGAGCAGTTGTTTACGAGTGACAAACACCAGAAACCACCTATCATGTCTTCTCTTCTAGACTTTTCACAAGGAAATCTCAATAACACTGAGTTACTAAAAACAGCATTCTATGTGTCATTTATGTTCTGCGATGGGAATCTAGCAAGTGTCACACTGTGGACAGAACAAAGAGAACATATTAGGCCCGCAACCATAAAGAGCGCTTTCAGAAACATCCTCCAGCTTTACATATTGCTCCGAAGCTACCATTTTGCTGCCTATGTTCAATCAAGGAGCATTTATCAAGACAGACCATATACTGGATCCTAACACAACTCTCGATAAATGTGAAAGGGTCTGGGGCATAGCTTAGCGGCAGACCGCACACTTAGTGTGTGCAGGTCCCTGGGTTCAATTCCCAGCACCAAAACAACAGAACAAAAGAAAAAAAATGCAAGCCAGAACATAAGCAATAACAAAGAAATCACAAAAAACATAGTTAATGAAAATGATTTCTTTTTAGCTACTAGCCTGGGACTGTTTCAGGCCTCGGTTGATTTTCTCCCCTGCCGGAGTCTGCCCTTGGCTTGTTCTCTCCAGGATGGTGCTTGCCTGTTGGTC